GGGGCTCGGGCGTCGCGTAGGCAGCCCCGCCTTGGCTCCCTAGACAAAGCTTTCGGAGCAGCCCGGACTTGGGCTCTGCTCCAAGGGCTCAAACCGCCCGGTTTCCAGGAGGAAAAATGCTTCGGAGTTGCTTTTTGGTCAAGTAAAATTCAGCGGTGGACGATAATTCTTAGTTCCCCTCGCTTCTGAAAGCGTAACCGCCCGACAACCCCCGGTTAGGATGAAATACCGAGGGTTTCTTCACTGCCCTGTGGGTTTTGTAATCCCGAGCCTGTCTCCCAGTGTGCTTGATGGTGGCTACAAGTAGCCTCAGACCGATAGGGTTTGGGTGGGATAAAACTCCGAAGGTAAGTGAAGCCATGGGTATCTCGCCCTGGAAAACAGGCTGGAAAGAGCAGTGGTGAAATACAGCTTGAGTCAGTGCCTAAATGCTGCCCAGCTCCTTCCCTAGTTATTTTTGGGTGTTCCTAGAATGTGAGGAACTAAGCATGGGTGTGTGTAATCTCAAGAGGGTGCTGGAAAGGTGCTTTTTTTCCTTCGTGGTTCATGGAGTTTTGAAGCCCTTGAGTTGTTCTGCTATGTATGTAATCACTTCTGTATTTTTGTATTTGTTTCTATGAATGCCAGGAAGTTGCATTTCACTCCTTTCAGATGGCAAACATTGTTCTCTGTATACGGTAGCATGAAACAGTAACTTTGTACATGAGTACTTCCCAAGGGACGCTGCACTTATGTAAATCATCAGCAAAAATAAAGGCTATAATGATTTTTCAGGTCACTTGATGCTAAATAATAAGCTTTTCAACGTCTTGAGGTACGAAATTTGCAAGAGAACAATGATCACTGTACATCTTTTTGAATGCAGAATTAAGGAGGATAATCTTTTTTTTTATTTTATAGAACATTATAAACACCACTGGTTCCCAGAAAAGCCATGCAAGGGATCAGGTTACCGATGTATCCGGATCAACCATAAAATGGATCCTCTCATTGGACAGGCAGCACAGCGGATTGGATTGAGCAGTCAGGAACTGTTCCAGCTTCTTCCAAGCGAACTCACTCTATGGGTTGACCCGTATGAAGTGTCCTATCGTATTGGAGAGGATGGCTCAATCTGTGTGCTGTACGAAGCTGCACCAGCAGGAGGTAGCCAAAATAACACCAACATGCAAATGGTAGACAGCAGAATAAGCTGTAAGGAGGAACTTCTCTTGGGCAGAACTAGCCCTTCCAAAAGCTACAATATGATGACTGTATCAGGTTAAGATATAGTCTGTGGATGGATCACCTTAAAATGGATGGATAAATTTGGTTTTTACTTTGGGTGGGCACCTCTGGGGATGGATTATGGAATTTAAACCATGTCACAGCTGTGAAGATCTGGCACACGTTAGAGTGGTATACTTTAAAGTGACAGTGCCATAGTTTGGACAGTACCTTTCAGTGATTTAATAGCCTGTGAGTCAAAATGATTGCAACTTGCTAGGGAGTGAAGAAGATCTAGGAAGGGTCAGTTTCTCCAAGACATCTTACTTAATTTCTACACCAATTTTCAACCCCAATCTGTATTTATAAAGTGATTCTCTGCAGTAGGTCTTGCAGAGTAAATTTGCACTATTACATTTATTAATTGTTAGCATTTTTGGCAGCTCAGTAACAAGACTTATTGTTATGAACACCATAGTACTGGAAATTTTATTTTTCAGACTTTTACCTAGCACTTACAAATATGTATAAATGTACATAAGATAAACTAGTAAGTATGACCTGGGGAAATGGTCAGATCTTTACATTGGCCTCAAAAGTAGCAAGTGATCAGAATCTGCCATGGCAACAGGCTTTAAAAAGACCATATAAAGACACTGTCTGAACTGTGGTGTTAGCACCAGCCAGCTATCTGTACATTTGCTAGCTTGTAGTTTTCTAAGACTGAGTAAACTTCTTATTTTTAGAAAGTGGAGGTCTGGTTTGTAATTTCCTTGTTCTTAATTGGGTAAAAGTCTTTTCCACAAACCACCATCTATTTTGTGAACTTTGTTAGTCATCTTTTATTTGGTAAATTATGAACTGGTGTAAATTTGTACAGTTCATGTATATTGATTGTGGCAAAGTTGTACAGATTTCTATATTTTGGATGAGAAATTTTTCTTCTCTCTATAATAAATTGTTTCCTATCTTGGCATTTTAATTAATCTCTTGTCGTGATTACATAGGATCAGTTAAACTATTTTTGTCTCACAGTAGAAATGAAATAGGTACTATAAAGGCTTAAGAACATCAGTGGCACCCCAATGCTAGGGAACACTTGGTACAGACCTGGATTAATGAAGACCTCGTATATAAATGCTTGGGAAGTTTAGGGAAACACAATGATGTACATGTCACTTTAAACCTTTTAAAATCAGTCCATGTGGAAATAACTCCAGGGCCAATAATTCCAGGATATGAGGAAAAGGTACAGAGATAACATCCACCAAAGATGACTTGAATAAATCCAGAGGATTAAAGTTTACTTGGCGTCCTGATGAAGGATATAGCAAACCTAAATGTCCATTCTGACCTACTTGCTCACAAGTTCTCAGTTCTTCCCTGATGGATTCCCTGCTCAATAAGAGTTTCTGGGACAAGTGTCCCATAGCCTTAAGAGCAGGTTAACCACTCTACAGAAAGGTTGCTCGCCTTTTGCTTTCTTCAGATGCAAGACTTTCACTTTAGAAATCATTAAGATGGGATTCAACAAAAGGTATGTAGATCTTTTTTCCCAAACTTAAAAGGTTGGTTGAGAAGTGAGAAGCCCATACTTATATGTGTATTCAAAGTTAATGAATGATGTGGAGATGTGATTCACTTAAGCACCACACTAATGTCATTTGTATACAGCACAGTGGTTAGTTACACTTGAGAGAAATTCCTTACCACTTTATTTACACTTGTTAAAGTGCTGGAGTAAAACTCAAAAACTTTCTGTTCCTTATCTCCTGCATACTTTGTTCTGTGAGTGTTTCATAAAATGCCTACCCAACTTGGTCACTTCAGTTACGAGAACTGCTACTGTTGCTCTGAAGGAAAAGAAAATCATTACTTGCCAACTAAAGGGGCTAGCTATGGATAGAACTGAGCTTCAGACTTGCCGTGCATTGTGGTATCTCCTGCTCAACTATGAGCCTTTACAATGCGGCAAAACTGATATAACTTCAAAATCTTTGTCTTCTGATCCATAATATAGCATTATATATGAGAAAAACATCACACTTGACTGTGTAGCTTTTTCGACCAATTTCTTTCCCCACTGTTTTTTTTTTTTTTGAAAGCTCAGCTTTAAAAATACTAGTTTTACTGTGATCTGCATATGTATGTCAACATTCAGCACTTCAAAGTACTGAGGCTCCTCCAGTACTACAGCTTTGAACGTAGACTGGTGGAAGCGTAAGTACTCCTGAAGCAGTGAAAAGAGCCTGCTCAGTATGTGGATCTGGCAATAATAGATCTATTACTAAAGCTTCAGAATGAGGTTGCTTTAAAGTACATGTGTTAATGATGTGTAGAGTCAAAGTTTAGGTTCACATCTTGATACCTTAAAAATTCTACTACTTCTAAGATGACGCTTTCAAGTTAAGTCCGTAGGCAAGAGATTTATTCAAGCAGTAGGAGTATTCAAAGAAATTTCTGTTGCGTTACGTGTCTGCAGACAGCATAAGTATATCCAAACAGAAAGAAAAACATTGAGCTTGGCTTCCTGTAAAGCCATATTAAATTTTCATGAAGCTTACTGCTGACTGAGCTGTGCTAGGTATATCGTGGTGCTGCCTATAGTCTTCTCTGCTGCACAGTAAGAACAGCATCGGAAAGGGTTAACTGTATAGTTGGTCTTTGACACAAGCTATGCAAATTATGAAAGCATCAGCTGTCAGTACTTTCTTTTTGATAAGCATAGCTTTGCGAGGCAGCAAGTATTGCATCTGCAGGGCTGGCGTGTGACACTGAACCAAGAATGAGCCTGCTCCCTTAGATGGTTAACATTTTAGTCCTTTTACGTTAGGGTGCTTTCATTCATGGCATAATTTTTAACTGCAGCTGTAACTAGTAATTGGTACAACCTGTGTCCTCAGAGTTGTTGGAATTCTTCCAGCTGGAATTTAAATGTACCCCAATGTGCACACAATGTGCCCTTGTCTGATTTTGAAAGTACTTAGCATGCTCTGGCAGCGGGGCATAGGAAGGGCTCCTGAGAGAAATGGAGTATGTCTCTAAGAGGAGGCTGTTGCCAATCCTACGTTTTGGTGCAGGTAGAACAAACAGTGCACTAAGCTAAATGCTTGTTGTTTTTGAATTTCATTTAAGGTGCCATTACGAAACCAGCAAGGCTTTTATTTTATATTACAGATGAGAGAGCACATTCAAGACCTGCTTGCCCGGTGCACGTTAGTTAAATTAGTTGAACTTTCCTTGTGAAGCACCGAATAATCCTGTTGTTCTGTTGGTGTTCTGCGGGCAGGCTCACCTGTACGCAGCTTTAATGTTACAGCCCTTAGACTGACGGACCAGTCTGCTTAGACTTGTTGACCATTCAGTGACTGTCTTTATAAAGTGTACAATTGCCTCCTAGTTTATGCCAGGTGAGCAAACGTTTCTTTTTCTCACAGCATATTCCCCCACTGTGCTATGTTTGGTATTAGATCCTATGCACTCAAGTTGACGTTTGTATTTCATGTTCAGTAATGATGCTCCTCCTGTAGGGTTGTATTATATGTATCCTGTAAGAATCTCTGTTCTTCTGTTCTCTTTGCAGTTATGTGGTTTTTTCCTGCTTATTCTGGAGATGTGCATCTGGCTTAAGCAGTCATTTGGACCGTGATCTTTTTCTTCCTGTAGATCTTGGGGTCATTCTTAGGTCTGAATATAGATGTGAGGGCTTTAATTCAATTGCTAATAATGCTGATTGTAGTTTTCTCCTTTTCTGCTGACTCTGCAATGATTTTTGGTAGATCTGTATGACAGGCCTCATTGTGCCACAGGATTTTCTTACTATTGGTTTGTTCTATCAGTCTACATGAGAAATTGGAAATAACCTATGTAAGGCACTCTTCTGATGTGAAAATACTGTCACTGGCTTCCACTTTAGTTGCATCTCGTATTGAATCAGTTCATAGGATAAAAAAGTCTCTCCTATTCATCACTAAAAAGAGTCGTCTTGGATCAGAAGATCATGTTGTGCTGTCTCGTGTCATAGCTAGTGATGACAATTCTGAAGCCTAAATACTGTTAAGCCTGTATGCTCTCGACTGCCTTCAATTTAAATAGGTAAAAGAGAAGCTTGAGAGATGATTTAGAAGCAAGTTACTGCTGTACGGCAGCAGCAGGACCTTACAAAACAGTTTACTGATGTGCAAACCATAAAGAATCCAGTTAATGCTCCTGGAGTGGCTGGTTAGTGCTGATGCTTGTAAACATTTCTGTCACCAAATTAAGCAGATGTCACTGAACATGAACACTAAATCCGCATAAGGTGTCCTTCTAATTAACCTTGCTTACTTATGCTGGGAGAATATGATCTCTTGTTAATGTGCAGGTTAGCAATGAATAAAATTAAGAACATTGCTGCTTTTCTTTATTGTGTATCTATATAAAGCTTATTTCCGAATTTCCATAAATCAAGTAGCACTCTACGTTTTCCAAAGTTTCCTCTGCTTGATGCCATAATTTTTAGGGAAAATAGTTTATATTGGCAAAAGCTGCCACTTGACTGAAGAACATTAAAGCTGTTTTTAGTTTAAAGAGTGAAACATGTATAGACTGGAGATAAATAGCTCTCCTAAAAAGGAATGTATATTTACACATTCTTGGTGTAATAGCAGAGGTTATTTTTACATGTTTCAGATTTACATTCCAATGTGGCATAAAGTGAACATTGTGAAGCAGGATGTTAATTCAGTGGCTTTCAAGGGTTGGTAGAGCAAGCTGGGCTTAGACAGTAAATGCTGTATTAATGGTTAGCAGTGACAATTTCATCAACATAGGAATTGCAGGGTATAATTAACATCAGTTGCTTTGACACTATGCTCTTAATGTATGGTTTCAACCTTTCTTTCAGTAGCAGTTGGAGAATGCACTGTGACAAATTATTGCTGATCCAAAGTAGGTCAACAGTAAAATGGCTGACTTACCATAAATGAACAGATCTAAATTATTGTAAATTCCACTGGACATTGTTACTTAGTGGCTAAGTCTTCTGTGCCCTCGTTTCTCAAGCATGAAACCTTGTATACAGCTTTTCCTAAGTCCTTGTTTCCTAACCATTTGATATTTTTGTCTAAACAAGAAGAACATTTCCTCCCAGCTGCTGGGAAGAAATCCACACGAGCAGTAATGCTGCGCGCGTGACAGCAGGTATTTGCCCTCGTAGTATTGCAATTCTGCGACTGCAAAGCTGGCAAGGAGAAACGACTTGCAACTAAGCAAAACGAGTAAAATGCCACATCTTCAGTTTTGAGGTTTTCTCCACTGAAAGTGACCCCCTGACAGCACGCGAGGAAGGGAACTAGGACTTTGATGATACCGAACGAGAAAAATCCCGGGCTGAGGCAATGGCAAGTACGTTTTTGCAGAGGGAAGTGTTTTTACCTTGTGATTCCTGTGATCAGCCGCTCAGCGTCTCGTCACGGCTTGCAACAACCTTTTACATTTTTCTCGAGAGGTGTAGCTTTATTTGAGGCTTTTTACCTCTTGGATGTCAGGAAATGGCCTCTAGCTTTGCAGTTTCTCTGGGGCACTGTAAATCCAGCGTGGTTTATGTGCTGATTATATAACTGAAGAAAACGATAAACAAATGAATCTGTTAGCATTGTAAGGACGCAAGGGAGGAGAACTTCAGCGTTCTTGGAGCAGCCTTGAATATATGCAAGGAGCAGCAGTGTCTGAAATGCCCAATGACAGAGGCAGGGCTGGGGATGCTGCCCAGCTTTCACGGTTGAGTTCCACGACAGCAACACTTACCTAAAGGGCTATAACATGGAGCTAAGGCTTGGGTACAGCTTCTAACTCCGAGATGGGCTTAAAGACAGATTTCTAGTACCAATAGTATCATCTGCTGACATTGGTTGCAATTAAGAAATTCCAACAGTGTGCCCTTGCTGTTCTGTGTTCTATAAAACTCAATTATTATTGGTTTTTGTAACCTAAGAACACGTA